TGGAAAGAAATGTGCTTTCCGTAATTGTAAAACAATATGTAATGCTGTCACATGATGAAACAACATTCAGATTGGACTTAACAGCAATGTTCACCACTTACTGCTTTTGCCTCATAGTTTATGTGGCATGGCCTTTTAGGCTGGCTTCCTTCGCCAGCCGCTACTTCTTCAACATCGTCACACACAGTGAAATTCAGAATGATGGTGTCATCAGATGTACCCGAGCATGATGATGAATGAGAGGTATCTGTTCATTATGAAATTTGTGCAAAACATAGAAACATATTACAATAAACTGTTATTTTTAAGACAATAAAGGTTCTCATTCTGGCCTTTAAACTAAAAAACTAATTGAATGAATGAATACCAAGTCCATTGCCCAGCATGATTCTGAAAGTTCCAGGTGACTCCTTTACTAATTCTTCAAAAACATCTGAGTCAACTTCTGTGTCAGACTGGTCATACACCTTAATGTCTGGCTTTCTGCTTTCTGGTATGTTGAATTTTAGACACACTGTTAAAAAAAGAAGAAAAAAAAGAAAAACATGCATTCCCTTCTCACAAGAATCCAAGTTCATACTTAAGGTTGCCTCATGTGTTCACAAAATGATGAAAGACAAGGATCTGCACCTGATTTTATGTTACTGAAAATATAAAGCACAGCAGAAATGACTATAGACCTAAATAGATATCATAAGATAATAGCTTAATGCTGTATTATTTTGTCATTAGTGTGATATGTATTGCTTTAACCTATTATACCTACCTTCTTTCAAGAAAGCATTGAATGTCAGCTCAGACAGCTTGACGTATTTCTGCTCTTCCCCGAGCTGAACACGCAACAGCATTTTGCCTCTGTTAACAAAGAAAATATATATTCAAAATCATCATTTAGTGCTGGTTCAACTAAGCGTTAGCTAACTATCCATTTATCTCAGTAGTACTAGCTACGCAATGCACTATGCATTACTTAGACGTTACACTGCAATTACAAAGGCTGAAGTAGACAAAGTTGTGCTGGTTGAATATAACGTTAAGCTGCCATTTTCTGCAGCAAATGGGTGTAGGCTAGTTCAAGTTTAGAGGCACATTGTCCCATTAGCTACCAAATAACTAGCTATGTGTCAAAGTTAGCTAGCTCATTAGCCATTTTAGTTCGAACAGTAGCTAACCATTAAAATGGTTAAGCAATGTTAAACAAACCCGTCATGCAAATCAGTGATCTAAGTTATCGTTTTATAACACCAACATTAGCTGGCTAACTATCAGAAGCATGCTAACATTACCGTTATATATAGCTTTATAAAAAACAGTTAACGTTAGTGTAAGGAAGCCTGGGAAGCTATACAATAACGTTAGCTAACAATACTATCTGTATAAAGTTTTGTTGTTAGCGAACGTTATTTTACGTATTTACCATTCTGACAAACTTCATTCGTGAAAATATTGCAACACAAAGAAAGACAGTTACCGATACTGATTGCAAGCTAGCTAACCGCATGACAAGCACAATCTGCGCTCATGCCAAACGGTGGTGTCCTTCAAACGAACTGATTAGCTAAGTTAACGTTACCTATTTTTAGCCATATGAAACAGCAAGCCATTCACAAAAATATCAAACATATTCCATGGGTATATCATATAACAGTTATTACTGTCAACCATCTGAACTTACAAGCTAATTTAGCTGGCTGATGACGAGGTCACTGCAAGGGGGACCGCCGCATGGAACTCGTAACTTAAAATATGACCTTGACATCAGCACAACTCTAAAATTATGTAAAGTTAAAAAATACCGGTTTGGTGTTGAAAAAACGGGGATGTAACTTACCTAGCAATATCTGTGGCCTAGCTACTCCTTCGCAATCTTCCTCCACCAACGTACGTGCCAAACTTCAGCAAAGCAGAGTGGCGGGTATTCATCACTGCTGTAGAGTTGAAATTGTCACTGCGTATCTGCAGATTTTTACACTCACTTTTAACTCCACTGATAGAGCAACTTTACTCTCAAAAATGTTGAAAATACTCTATCTGGGTTAAAATAACTTTACTCTGAAATATTAACACCCCATTTTTTACTGTGTGCGGGGGCACCGGTTAGTCATCATTACTTTAAGACATGAAGGTCAGTCAATCCAGAAAATGTCAAGAACCTTCTTCAAGTGTAGTTGCAAAAACCATCAAGCTCTATGATGAAACTGGCTCTCATGAGGACCGTCACAGGAAAGGAAGACCCAGAGTTACCTCTGCTGCAGAGGATAAGTTCATTAGAGTTACCAGCCTCAGAAATTGCAGCCCAAATAAATGCTTCACAGAGTTCAAGTAACAGACACATCTCAACATCAACTGTTCAGAGGAGACTGCGTGAATCAGGCCTTCATGGTTGAATTGCTGCAAAGAAACCACCACTAAAGGACACCAATAATAAGAAGACTTGCTTTGGCCAAGAAACATGAGCAATGGACATTAGACCGGTGGAAATCTGTCCTTTGGTCTGATGAGTCCAAATTTGAGATTTTTGGTTCCAACCGCCATGTCTTAGTGAGACACAGAGTAGGTGAATGGATGATCTCTACATGTGTGGTTCCCACCGTGAAGCATGGAGGAGGAGGTGTGAGGGTGTGGGGGTGCTTTGCTGGTGACACTGTCTGTGATTTATTTAGAATTCAAGGCACACTTAACCAGCATGGCTACCACAGCATTCTACAGCGATACGCCATCCCATCTGGTTTGCGCTTAGTGGGACTATCATTTATTTTTCAACAGGACAATGACCCAACACACCTCCAGGGTGTGTAAGGGCTATTTGACCAAGAAGGAGAGTGATGGAGTGCTGCATCAGATGACCTGGCCTCCACAATCACCCAACCTCAACCCAATTGAGATGGTTTGGGATGAGTTGGACTGCAGAGTGAAGGAAAAGCAGCCAACAAGTGCTCAGCATATGTGGGAACTCCTTCAAGACTGTTGGAAAAGCATTCCAGGTGAAGCTGGTTGAGAGAATGCCAAGAGTGTGCAAAGCTGTCATCAAGGCAAAGGGTGGCTACTTTGAAGAATCTAAAATCTAAAATATATTTTGATTTGTTTAACACTTTTTTGGTTACTACATGATTCCATATGTGTTATTTCATAGTTTAGATGTCTTCACTATTATTCTACAATGTAGAAAATTTTAAAAATAAAGAAAAACCCTTGAATGAGTAGGTGTGTGCAAACTTTTGACTGGTACTGTTTATATACCTACAGGGGTCCTACAATTCTATATCAAATAGCTAAATGAACAATTCCATGTTAGCTTAGTAGAATAATGTAGAATCATGCCAATTACATTGTGTGGGTTTACTGTATTGCAAACAGTGGAGGCTCCTCAGAGGAGGACCATCCTCAGTGAATTTAATAAAAATAAAAATAGTGAAACATTAAAGTTATCCTTTTTAGATAAAACTATGCCAAATATATTCAAGTCACCAAATAATTGATTAAAACACACTGATTTGCAATGAGGGTCTACAAGTAGTCTCAACAGCACTCTGGAGGGTAGCGTCATGGTGTAGCCAGAGGACAGCTACTTTCTGTCCTCCTCTGGGTACATTGACTTCAATACAAAACCTAGGAGGCTCGTGGTTCTCACCCACTACCATAGACTTTCACAGTAATTATGACAACTTCCGGAGGAAGTCCTCCAACCTATCAAGAGCTCTTGCAGCATGAATTGACATATTATCCACCCAATCAAAGGATCAAAGAATGAATCTAGTACTGAAAGCGTAAGCTACAGCTAGCTAGCACTGCAGTGCATAAAATGTGGTGAGTAGTTGACTCAAAGAGAGACAAAGACAATAGTTGAACAGTTTTTAACAAATTCAATTATTCAAAAATGAAGAAGCAAGAGAGCGAGAGCTATATATATATATATATTTTTTTTTTTTTACTTTCACTTCCTTAGCCTACTCAAACACCCAGCTCAAACAGAGGTTTGCTATGTTACCTAGCCGGCTATCCAACACTGGAACTCTTCCAAGTCAAGGTAAGCTTTTGGTTGTATTAATTTATTGCCACCGGGCCCCGCCGGTGTAACTACTAAATTGTTTGCTAACTGTACACTGTACTGCATGATTGTAGTGGGTTTACTAACACGTTAGTAGTTCTGGTAGCTATGTTGACTTGACATTAGCTAACATGGTGACAACAATGTAGGCTGTGTGTAGCGGTTATGAGATGAAGGTTTGGCTTGGAAAGTTATTTTTTTGCCTGGTCACAGACTGCGGTTGTGTTCTGCACTGAGGTCCACAAGTGAAGGGAAAAGGTGAGAGGAGGAGGGCGCGTAGATGTGAGAAGGAATTATCCAACCATCAAAGGGATCATGCTGTTTATATGTAGCTGCTATGAAAGTGAACTGTGTTTGCATGTGATCAGGGGTGTATTCATTCCGCTGATTCTGTTGAAAAATGTGTCCAATAGAAACTCTCGTTTGCAACTGTTGGACTAATGATTACACCCTAGATCAGCTAGATGCAGGCAAGATTGTGCAAGGCGGTATTGAATGTGTCAATGTCTGTCACCTTGATTACTTAAATTTCTCTCGACCTGTGCACCAAGTTGTAAACTTTCATTCATAGGCTAGGTTGTAGCAACCTCTATGAGTATCATGTAGTAGCCTAAACGTATCGATGTTACATTGAGCTGGGTGAATGGAATATGAATGACAGTCATCCAATATGCTGTAATATAAATGAGGTCATGCTCATAAAAATGTTTTATCATCCTCCACCTCCTTAAACGGCACCAACTGGTGGTCCTCTGTAGCTCAGCTGGTAGAGCACGGCGCTTGTAACGCCAAGGTAGTGGGTTCGATCCCCGGGACCACCCATACACAAAAAAATGTATGCACGCATGACTGTAAGTCGCTTTGGATAAAAGCGTCTGCTAAATGGCATATTATTATGATTGCAAATCACACGTTGCCCAACATTATACCAAACAAAGTAAAACACCTGAAAATGATTTCAAACACTGATGCCTAACCAAGAAAAACAACCTCCACCACAATAAAATAATCAAAAACTTTAATGATTTTCCAAATAATATTCTCATCTGGATAAATATACCATAGAAATGCAAACATGCTTATCCTTGTGTATATTTTTCCTATGTAAAAAATGTACATCGCGTAAATAAAAAAACCCCACAACTAATCCTCAAACCCAAAATGTTGATACTGTATCCACTACTCTAATCATTACAACCCATTATCCTAGTTTTTTCCTGCAGTTAATATGGTGATTTCTTCCCCCTACCTTATACAATTCAAAATGAACCCTTTCAGAAATGACACAGACAACAGAACTGGGTGGGGGTAATAATTTTTCTCTGAAGCCGTGCGGTGTATTACATTTTTCCCTCATTGAATGCTTAGCACAACATGAAGAAAACCTTCTGTGACAGCAAAAATATAAATTATTTAGATATTTACATCAAATAATAAGGGTCACATGGTGAGGATGCTTTGGAGATGGGGATCACTAAAATGTTGATAGGGGGGGGGAAAGCATGTAAAGCAAAAGTTTCAGAATAACAATCGCGAAAATCGACCGTTCTAAACGTTACCATGGGAGCATGCTCATTTTTCCATCCTATTTTAAGAGCAATTACAAACAAAACGTAAAGGTGAATAAAAACATCCAGACCACACCAAATGGTAAATATGTTTAAGTCGGAAAAAGAGACATTGCAACGCCCATGTATTAAAAACATAATTTTTTGCCTTTCAGTGAAGTTCATAGCATCACAAAGACAAGAACAGTTCAGTGATATTACAATAACTGCCCAAATGCAAGGGCGGGGGCTGATTATGTTAACTTTTTGGTAGAAATTGCCAAAGACATTTTCTGATTCAAACATCCTGTTTATAGCTTTTATACAGCTTCTGAACTTCCTCTTTTCATGGAAGGCCATGGTACTCTTTCTCTGGTTTTGGGCTGGAAACAGAACCTACAGCATTGCCCTTTTAGTGTTAGTTTTAGATGGTGGTTGGCTCTCGGACACAAAACAACCATACTCAATATTCCATTAGTCCTTTTTTTCCCCTCTACAGCAGTTGGTGTCAGTAATGCAACTAGTTAGCCTCCATCGCCCAGCGCTGTAAGTCCTCCATGTCATCCTCATCTTCATCCTCCTTCTTTTTGGCTAAAATAAAAAAGGAATGCAAAAATTGTGACTTACTTGTGTATATAGATGTTTTATAGCAATAAAGGTGTAAAATGACAATAGATCAATTAGTTATTTAATGTACTGTTGGGATAGTAACCATGGCATAAAATGTTCCCATGGAGAAATCACGTGTTTTATTGCATATTATTGTATATTACAAAGGACTCACCAGGTCTTGAGGGTAATGAAGTAGAAGGCACATTGGGAAGAGGAACATTTTCTGTCCCGCCGATCTCCAGCAAGTTTTTGTCCAATTCCTCTTGTTCCAGCTCATCCAACTCTGCTAGGAGTTCATCCTATGATGCAAGACATTCAGAACATCCAGGCTCTGTGATATCTGGTCAACTATTAAACTAACAGCACTGATAAAAGCCAAATCAAGAACAATGTTCAGACAAGTTCATGTCACATACCTCATCAAACTCATCTCCAAAGCCTACAGGTTTTGAGATGGCATCTGAGATCTCTTGTGCTAGCTCCTGCTGCTCAGTGATGTCTTGCATCAAGTCATCTACTTTGTCTATGTCCCTAAACCACAAAGATAGCGGGAACATAAATATTTGAATTAATACAAGAGCTGTATGAGTGCCTGACCAAAGCTAATAAACCAGTAGTGTGCCACTGCTTACATGTTTTCATGGGCAGACTTCATTGCCTTAGCAGCAAAGCCCATGTTCTTGAGCACTTCAGTGTTGGTGTTGGCATTTTCCAGCGCCTCTCTCTGGAACTCGATGGTGGACAATGTGCCATCAATCTGGGTAAGCTGCTTCTCATACCGCTTCTTCCTTTTCAAGGCCTGCAGGGCCGCTTTGCGTAGTGAAAACAAAATAGAAGAGGTTAGTGTGTTCTATTCGCGGGACCACCTGTACATAAAATGTATGCACGCATTACTAAGTTGTTTGAATAAAAGCATTGGCTAAATGTCATTTAAGAGGTTGTGATGGAAACATAGCATTTGTTGTAAAGAACATGGGAAATCAAGACTAGCACAGATTGAGTCACTGTGTAGGTTGCAGTGAAATAAGTTTATAGCAGTGAAATAGGTTTACAGCATTAAAACAGTCCATGAGAACACCATGATCATGAGCAAAGTTGACTTTTATGGGGGCGTGGTTAGTATGTGAAGACAGTGGCAGTGAGTCATGCTCACAGTGTTTCTGAATGCCCAGGACTTTCCTGTGAGTAAATGTGTAACCACTCACTATTACATCATAGGCCTGTGTCATGAACACCACTGTCTGTGAAGAATGACAGAAGTCACTTGGAGCCTCTCTGTCAGCCCTCGGTATTAGGTAACTAATCATCACTACAGGCCCTGTAACAGGGTGTGTTGGGGTCCCTATGATTTAAATGTCCCAAAAGTAAAACTGCTAAATTGATACTGACTGAATGGATGGGTGCCCCCCTTTCCTTCTCTTGACAGCAGGCATTAATTGCAAATTCATGACTCACACAAAATCCCCACATCACACGATGCCAATTGACAAATGTTGGTTCACTAACTGTTGGTGTAGTCTGGTGTAGTCTGACATAGACCTTTGATACCAGTCACACAAAACGCTCCTTTAAAACGGGTATAATGCATATTAGCTGTTCTAACACAGTTGGTGCAACGAGGTAGGGCGAGCCTGGCAACCTGACTATGCGGTGACAGGTGTGGTTGCTCGGAAAGTTAGCTAGCTAGCAACTAACGTTAGCTAGCCAATGCAGCTAGCTAACAAATCAGGCGAACCTTAGTTAACTAGCTAGCTTAATTAGCTAGCCAAGTTAGACAACAATCGTGAAGATTCATATGTGATGTTGGTTGGCTACTCACCTCGTTTGTTTTTAGTGCCGTTTTTCTTTGCAGTAATGAGTTCCTGGTCAATCTTTTTCTCTAGAAAATCCTGTTTCTTCGTTAACATTTCCTCGGTCTCTCGGAGTTTCTGAATCGCCTCTTGTGCACTCGGCCCTTTACCTCCTTTGCCCCCACCGCCGAACAGCTTCCCAAACACGGACATTCTGCGATTCTAAACTATATAGCAATAAAGGTCCTTTTAAAACGTTAAACGCCAACAGGCGACCGTGTCACTCTTCTCGCTCTGGCCTGATTGTTGATATTTCTTACTTCCTGGTTTAGGCCGTTTGACGTAATATTCTTCCCTAGAGTGGGTGGTGTTCCATGGTGCTCTACTGCCACCCTCAGGATGCACGAGGCAGCAACACACCAAATCAGGGTCTGCAGACCTTTTGACTGACATTCAAAAAGGTCATTATTATTTATTAAGGGAAATACTCCATAAATAATAAGCACCCACCTTTTAAAAAAACAAATACATACATATCACTCGTAATATTAAGATTTCTTAGCATCGATTACATGCCTTTCTGAACAGCACCCAGTATCTCAATTAATAAGGATATCTGCTTGAAACAGCCTCTAAATGAAACGGACTTTACATTATCAAATAGCTGCCAGATCAGAGGAGGGGTTTTTCGGATTGCCCTGCAAAAATGTAACAACTTTACAGAAGAGGTCCCCTGTAGCTCAGTTGGTAGAGCATGGCGCTTGCAACGCCAGGGTTGTGGGTTCGTTTCCCACGGGGGGCCAGTATGAAAATGTATGCACTCACTAACTGTAAGTCGCTCTGGATAAGAGCGTCTGCTAAATGACTAAAATGTAAAAGATCTCTTTGCTGACATTCCACAGACTTGCCCCCTCCCATGACGTCACACGGAGCCCTTCCTTCCTACTCTCTGCTTGCTAGCTTAGCTTCAGCTGTTGTTGGCACTTGGCTGTGCAGTTGTGATTCTCCAGCTATCCCTTACCGAAATCGGGTCGTATTTAGGAGCTTTTACAATAGTCATAGTAACAAAAGCTTCGACATATAGACCAGGTACTTATATCAGAAAGGCTTTCGAACCTCTGGGACATGGCCAGACAAGAGCAAGTCCTCCAGCTTGAGCCACCACACGAACTGAAATTTAGAGGTAAGACGGCAGGGCCGGACAGTTTGGTCTGCAAGTATTTGACCATCGTTCCAAGCTAGCTAATGCATTAACAGTAGTGTTGTTGATAACTAAACAATGGGTCTGCACACGGTGTATCATATTTCATATTTGGTTTCTAGAGTAGTGACAAGCGAAGCGACATTGTATACCGACGTCTTCTACCTACCGATGCTAACAGGCTAATGGCTAGCTATTTTAGCCTGCAATGTAAAGCCAGGCCCTGGTAATTTTCTCAATCAATTTTAGTTGCATGTTATTCAGTCATAATCACGATCTCCCTTACTTGCGAGTCAGCTTTTGGCACCATAAATTAAGATATTTCTGATATAGCTACTACTAGCTAGCTAAATGAAGTATAATTAATTAATTAATTTATAGTACTTTCTGAGGTTAGGGCGACACTAGGGATATTTCCATTTCACAATTACCTTTATGGATACATATAAGTGTTTTCTCAATCCGTTCGTGGGACACATTTGTTTCAGCCCTGACCACACACATGAACAAGCCCTTGATTAGTTGAATCAGGAGTGTTATTGTTAGGCAGAAACTGTGCACCTCCCAGAGGAATTGATTGAGAAATACTGCAGAGAAAAGTGACTGTTGACAATTGTCAGGCACAGGATCAATGAGTTTGAGCCGAATTGTAAGGTTCTGAGTAGGACCATTTTACCGCTTGTAATGGAATGATTGAACAGGCTATAATTGATGAATGGATTTGAGAATTATATTAGGGCTGTCCCCGACTAAAAATAATCTTGGTCAACCGAGAGTCATCTGTTCTTTCGACCAATCGATTGGTCGACATTTTAAAACGTTTATTTTTCCATATATATAGACACATCCTATGTGTTTTAATCAAATAAACTATATGCACTGAGCTTGTCTGATGCTTTAAGCGCTGTGTTTGATGAAATAATTAAGACACACAAATGACTAGAGGGAGTCAGACCGCAATTGATTTGATTGTGCCAGGCCGGGCTCAGACTTGCTGCGCTGTATATATATATATATATATATATATTTTAAAGAGAGTGACTGTGTGACTAGCACCGGTTGTCTCTCCCTCCTCCCTGCTGCAGCGACCACCACAGAACACCAACAGTGTTTATCACGCTGTCAGTCTTGCTGAAGCTGCAACATAATTACAGCCATTTCTGACTGAAGAGTTTTGTTACCGAAATCCCTCATTTGTTTAGGAAAAACATTCCCTCAACCCTTGGCCTTGCTCTCTTTACGTGACACGTTTGCATCGCATGGACATGACCAATCGGGCCTGACCTATAGCATATCATAATCACATCAATAAATTGGTTATAATAAACTCTGAACACCGTAACACATTTGACAGCAAAATGGATGCAGAGGATGTGACAAATAATCTTGAAACTGGGGAATGTTCACTGGTTGCTCAGGAGGTAAAGGGGAAGTCAGATGTGTGGAATACATTTGACTAGTAGTGGAAAATACTGGAGATTAAGAAAAATAAGGAGCAAGCGCTGTGTTCATATTATGTGTGCCAGACAGGTGCAGTTAGATTACTATATAATTTTTCTGACCGTTTGGAACAATGTAAACAACACTAAATAAAAAGCATACCAGAGAGTCTGTTGTAAGTTTTTCATTTTTTTGTAAAGTCTTTATTACAGTAAAGACTCAAAACGGTCACATGCATTTGTGAATGCAATTGCCGAAGTGGAACGGTTTATTTATTGTTTACGCTAATTATTCAAGGATCGCTTTGTTATTTTATTTAAAAACTAAAATGCTTGATTGCATTTCAAATCATGAATGACTCATATGCTGTGTGATGACATGAACGCATGAATGATTGATTGATGCAGTAGCCAAAATACAGTGCATTCGGAAAGTATTCAGACCCCTTGACTGTTTCCACATTTTGTTACGTTACAGCCTTATTCTAAAATGGATTAAATACTTCCCCTCCCTCATCAATCTACACACAATACCCCATAATGACGAAGCAAAAACAGGTTTTTAGATTTTTGTTGCAAAAATATGAAAAATAAAAAACATATCACATTTACATAAGTATTCAGACCCTTTACTCAGTACTTTGTCGAAGGACCTTTGGCAGCGATTACAGCCTTGAGTCTTCTTGGGTATGACGCTACAAGCTTGGTACACCTGTATTTGTGGAGTTTCTCCCATTCTTCTCTGCAGATCTGCTCAAGCTCTGTCTAGGGCCACGTTAAATTGATAGCACTGCTGTCGCTGTTACATTAGCACGGCTACAGATTTGATAGCTGGCTAGGTTTTTATAAGGTTGGATGGGGAGTGTCGCTGCACAGCTATTTTCAGGTCTCTTCAGAGATGTTCGATTGGATTCAAGTCCGGGCTCTGGCTGGGCCACTCAAGGACATTCAGAGACTTGTCCCGAAGCCACTCATGCATTGTCTTGGCTGTGTGCTTAGGCTCTGGAGCAGGTTTTCATCAAGGATCTCTATTTTACTCCATTCATCTTTCCCTCGATCCTGACTAGTCTCCCAGTCCCTGCAGCTGAAAAACATCCCCACAGCATGATGCTGCCACCACCATGCTTCACCGTAGGGATGGTAACAGGATTCGTCCAGACGTGACGCTTGGCATTCAGGCTAAAGAGTTCAATCTTGGTTTCATCAGACCAGAGAATCTTGTTTCTAATGATCTAAGAGTCTTTAGGTGCCTTTTGGCAAACGTCTAGCTGTCTCACGTGCCGTTTACTGAGGAGTGGCTTCCGTCTGGTCACTCTACCATAAAGGCCTGATTGGTGGAGAGCTGCAGAGATGGTTTCCTTCTGGAATGATCTCCCATCTCCACAGAGGAACTCTGGAGCTCTGTCAGATTGACCATCGGGTTCTTGGTCACCTCCCTGACCAAGGCCCTTTTCTCCAGATTTCTCAGTTTGGCTGGGCGGCCAGCTCTAGGAAGAGTCTTGGTGGTCCAAACTTCTTCCATTTAAGAATGATGGAGGACACTGTGTTCTTGGGGACCTTCAATGCTGCAGACATTTTTTGGTACCATAGCAAAGGGTCTGAATACTTATGTAAATATGGTATTTCTGTTTTTAATTTTTAATAAATTAGCAAACATTTCTAAAAACCTGTTTTCACTTTGTCATTATGAGGTATTGTGTGTAGATTGATGAGGATTTTTATTTAATCCATTTTAGAATAAGGCTGTAACGTAACAAAATGTGGAAAAAGTCAAGGGGTCTGAATACTTTCTGAATCCACTGTAAGTATTGAATATAGGCCTAAGCAAGTTACAGTATTTAGACTAAACAGGATGCGCTGTTAGGCCTACAGCTCGATGGTAGTTATACAAGGCTGCTATAAACTACTAAGCCTACTAATGATAATGACATTACTTATTATAATGATGATGATCATAATAGTAATAATAACAATAAGGAGATCAATAAAAAGTTGACAATTTGGAACAGTGTAGACAACACTAAATACATTAAGTAATACCAGAGAGGCTGTTCTAACAAGAAAAAAAGTGTACAACTTTTATTACAACATGGCAAAGATTAAAAACAGCCGAATTTGTGAAATTGTTTATCCGACATGTTGTAGTGCATGAGGCTTGGTGCTCACAGAATCAGTAGGCTATTAAACAAACACTCAAACAGGCAACACAAGCAGGATCTATCTTATTTCTGTACATACACTACATGACCAAAAGTATGTGGACACCTGCTCGTCGAACATCTCATTCCAAAATCATGGGCATTAATGTCCCCCCTTTGCTGCTATAACAGCCTCCACTCTTCTGGGAAGGCTGTCCACTAGATGTTAGAACATTGCTGCGGGGACTTGCTTCCATTCAGCCACGAGTATTAGTGAGGTCGGGCACTGATGTTGGGTGATCAGGCCTGACTCGCAGTCAGTGTTCCAATTCATCCCAAAGGCGTTCAATGGACAAACCATTTCTGTATGGACCTCGCTTTGTGCACAGGGGCATTGTCATGCTGAAACAGGAAAAGGCCTTCCCCAAACTGTTGCCACAAAGTTGGAAGCACAGAATATTCTAGAATGTCGTTGTATGCTGTAGTGTTATTTCCCTTCAATAGAACTAAGGGGCCTAGCCCGAACCATGAAAAACAGCCCCAGACCATTATTCCTCCTCCACCAAACTTTACAGTTGGCACTATGCATTGGGGCAGGTAGCGTTCTCCTGGCATCCACCAAACCCAGATTCGTCCATCGGACTGCCAGATAGTGATGTGTGATTCATCACTCCAGAGAACGCATTTCCACTGCTCCAGAGTCCAATGGCAGCGAGCTTTACGCCACTCCAGCCGACGTTTGGCATTGAACATGGGGATCTTAGGCTTGTGTGCGGATGCTCGGCCATGGAAACCCATTTCATGAAGCTCCCGACGAACAGTTATTGTGCTGATGTTGCTTCCAGAGGCAGTTTGGAACTCGGTAGTGAGTGTTGCAACCAAGGACAGACGATTTTTACGCGCTACGTGCTTCAGCACTTGGCAGTCCCGTTCTGTGAGCTTGTGTGGCCTACCACTTCTCGGCTGAGCCGTTGTTGCTCCTAGATGTTTCCACTTCACAATAACAGCACTTACAGTTGACCGGGGCAGTTCTAGCAGGGCAGAAATTTGAAGGACTTACTTGTTGGAAAGGTGGCATCCTATGACAGTGCCAAGTTGAAAGTCACTGAGCTCTTCAGTAAGGCTATTCTACTGCCAATGTTTGTCTATGGAGATTGCATGGCTGTGTGCTCGATTTTATACATCTGTCAGAAATGGGTGTGGCTGAAATAGCCAAATCCACTAATTTGAAGGGGTGTCAAGATACTTTTTTATTCCAGTGAAGGGAAATCTTAACGCTACGCTACAGCATACAATGACATTCTAGACGATTCTGTGCTTCCAACTTTGTGGCAACAGTTTGGGGAAGGCCCTTTCCTGTTTCAGCATGACAATGACCCCATGCACAAAGCGAGGTCCATACAGAAATGGTTTATCGAGTTCAGTGTGGAAGAACTTGTCTGGCCTGCACAGAGCCCTGACCTCAACCCCATCGAACACCTTTGGGATGAATTGGAACGCTGACTGCGATCCAGGCCGAATCGCCCAACATCAGTTCCGACCTCACTAATGCTCTTGTGGCTGAATGGAAGCAAGTCACCTCAGCAATGTTCCAACATCTAGAGGAAAGCCTTCCCAGAAGAGTGGAGGCTGTTATAGCAGCAAAGGGGGTACCAACTCCATATTAATGCCCATGATTTTGGAATGAGATGTTCGACGAGCATGTGTCCAGATACTTTTGGTCATGTCGGTTATCTGTTGTCTATTCTCTCCATCTTTTCCAGGTCCATTTACAGATGTCGTCACAGCCACCCTGAAGCTTGGCAACCCAACAGATAGAAATGTGTGTTTTAAAGTGAAGACGACAGCGCCTCGTCGATACTGTGTCCGTCCAAACAGTGGCATCATTGACGCAGGCACCTCCATCAATGTATCTGGTTGGTATCTTTTTGTTTGATTATAGGTGATTGTAGCTGAATAATCTCAGGAACTAATAGTATGTTGAGCTGGTCAACGGAAGGTAACACGTTGCTAAGAGTTTGCTCGATGCCATTTGTCTGCTTTGTTTTGCAGTTATGCTACAGCCTTTCGACTATGATCCCAATGAAAAGAGCAAACACAAATTCATGGTGCAGTCCATGCTTGCTCCATACGACATGACTGACATGGAAGGGGTGGTAAGTGTCCAAATGGAATGTGGTAAATCATGATCTGATGATCACAGTAAGTCTATTCAATCTTCTAGTTCAGACTTACTGTCTCAAGCCTCTACTTGTTTAGGCGTTGCAAGTGGGACAAATGTGCTGACAGGATATGCTTCTCTTATGAGTGTCATAGAGTCCCTATTTGGGTGTGGTCATCTTGGTGTTCCTTTATTATTCCGTTTTCTGTCTGCACTCCCCCTCTTCTTCTCTTTCTCTCTGTCATTCTTTCTATCGTTCTGTCCTCCTTCTGGCTGACAGTGGAAAGAGGCAAAGCCAGAGGAGCTGATGGACTCCAAGTTGAGATGTGCATTTGAGCTGCCGCTAGAGAATGACAAAACTGTAAGTATCTCCTACATCACATCATTGCATGTTTTTGTTTTTTTCTCGATATTCCTTCCCTCATAGATTTCATCGTACAGTGTAAGATTAATTCAGAGCACCTTCATTCCATTCACAAATAGATCCTGAATGATTCGATCATCTCCACTCTATTGCATCTTTGAAACAGCCGTTGCCATGTTTTGTTTTTTATTTTGTGCTTCTCATCCCCATTCTGTTATTCATCTGCATGTTTCTGTCTCCTCCACTCCTCTCCACAGCATGACAGTGAAAGCAACAAATATGTGTCCACTACCCCCATAAAGTCAGAGCTCTCCTCACTCCCTAAGTCGGCCAGCTCCTCCCTGGATGACGGCGAGGTGAAGAAGATCATGGAGGAGTGCAAGAGGCTGCAGATGGAGGTCCAGAGGCTACGGGAAGAGAACAAACAGATCAGGGTGAGTCTCAAATGTCCCTAGAACCCACAACAATCAGATCTGTTCTACACAGTGCATTTGATTTGCTCCATCTGTAACAATGCAGACTTACTTAACAGGCCTCTTATTTGAGATGGGTAATTGACTGATTTGAGATCAGTAACTGCTTTTCACTGTTATTGCTCAAAAACAGCTGTTCTATATTCAACATGGTTTGACTGACATTTGGCCTGTGACTCCTTCCCTCTACCCAGGAGGATGATGGTCTGCGGAAGAGGAAGGTCACGTCTATGGCATCCTCCCCCCACTCCTCTTCCTCACAGGCCATGATAAGGGAAGAGGGCCTGAGTACCCGCGTGCTGGCGCTCTGCGTGCTGTTCTTTGTCATCGGAGTCATCATCGGGAAATTGGCCCTGTAGAGATAGCCAGCGGCAGCATGCTCGAAGGACCGAAAAAAACCAACAACAATGGGATGTGTACTTTTTTTTGCAAAATGCAATATCACATGGGTTTATTTGAGTTGTGAAATTATTTAACATAAAAAAGCGAAGAAGGTAATCTAGTGAAATAATGAAAAGAACCGGTCACGAGTCGTCTTGCCTTTTAATCACTCTGTATTTTCCATCCCTACTTGCACAGATACAATACAAATCATTGTGTGGGGATTGGGGAAATTGCAGCGTTGTGTTCTATAAGTATCAATGATAGCAATGTGTTCCAGTAAGGCCAAGGCTTTTCCTACAGCAGAACTAATGTGACTGAGTTCTATGACGTTGTGTGAATGTTTTAATCATTGCTTTTTTAAGGTAAGGAGACCGTACATTGTGTGTGAGTCGAGAGGCTGCCAGTGAATTTTAGCATGAAGGGGGGTAATTATGTAAATCCTGTCATCCAACTGATTCCTGTATGAAACATAACATGGATTTGGGGGGGGGGGGGGGGTAACTGAAAATAAAATGTTAACCATCATTATGTCCACGACAGACCCCTTTCCAATGCAGTAGTTTTTTGTATAATCAATTAGCAATTTGTTTTTAATCTATCACAGAATTTGTACCGTCTTATAGAGCTGCAGTGAGTTAGTTCTACACATTTTAGTGTGTAATTTAGTGACAGTCTCTGAGGTGAAGGCACAGAATTGGTGACTTGTCATTTGGTCAAAGGCCCAGGCTGTGAAGGATCTCTTCCAGATCAGTATGTGGGTCTTGCCTTTTGTATCTCTTTGATATTTTAAGTAGCAATTTTGCACCAATATTGAATTTTAAAAGCCTGTTATATTAAATGAAGTGTCCTTTAACATAGACCACATGGAGAATTCAATAAATCAGATTTTTTTGTATGAATAAAGGCTTGCTAAATTGCCAAAATTCGGAATTTTGACATATCCCTCCGTCAACCCTGTCACTTTTAGGAAGATTTTAACCCACTTAGGCCTAGATTCGAATCAAGTGTTAACCGGCGATAGCCTACACCCATATTTCTGATGTTTTGGCGGTGACCGAGGTGTAACTTGCGTTGGAGCTGTCAAATCGGTGAGCAGCTGCTCTTGTGATCGTCTCGAAGCCACACCCGTCCCACTCGCATTAGAAGTTCAGAACGAGAATGTGTAGGCTATAGGGTGAATAAGTGGGACACTTTTTGCATATCCGTCTTCTGTAACCTCTTTCAACATCTAGCCAACATATTAGCCCAACACATCCTCAAGATGTTCCCTAATCACACAAAAAAAAGTTGATATCATATTCACAGGAGGCATGACACACCCATTTGTGTACACTGAGTCAAAACCATATTTTCAGATTGGGGCACCATTATTATAGTCATAATTGTACCCCAATGACAATTCAATTCAATTTTGTGTGATTAGGAAACATCTGAGGATTTCAGAAATGTATCATGTTTTGGGCTAACGGATGTCTGAAGAGGTTACAGAAGACGGAAATGCAAAAAGTGTCCCACTATTTCTGAAATTACTCAAATAACAGGACAATACATTTTTTTTTACAGGATATAGTACTATAAGAACCAGAGCCCTGCCTAACCTAAGGACAGGGGTTCCCTAATGTAAACTGGATCTCTTTCCTCCATTGGAAGGACCAATAAGCAGAGGTGGGACAAAGTCATTGTTATGCAAGTCACAAGTAAGTCTCAAGTCTTTGCCCTCGAGTCCCGAGTCAAGTCGAGTCAAAGATGAGGCAAGTCCCAAGTCGAGTCAAAAGTCAAAGCCATCAAGTCTCAAGTTGAGTCCAAAGTCCTACCATTTTAGTTTCGAGTCATTTCAAGTCCTCTTACCACAGAAATAAAATGTATACAAATCATGTATGTCTGTAAGATTTGTATTTATTTAAACCTTTTTATACAATAACATTAATCAAATACAGCAAAAAACATAACATTTAATTTTCACAAAAAAAATGCTTGTATTTGAACAGCATATTGCACTAGAACAATGCAGAGAGAGAGAGAGAGAGAGAGAGAGAGAGAGAGAGAGAGAGAGAGAGAGAGAGAGAGAGAGAGAGAGAGAGAGAGAGAGAGAGAGAGAGAGAGAGAGAGAGAGAAAATGGTTTACGGGGAAGGACAAACACCAAAGCTCTGGAAGTAAAAACAGTGTGGGAACCTGCACTGCAAATGAACAGATCTTACTCCATGTGAAACTCCTACCACAGGAGAGAGAGAGCTGTGTGGACAGGTGATGAGCAGAGAGTGAGTGTGTGTGCGCGCATGCGTGCTGTGGACAGGTGGAGGGAGGCCCCTATACTGCATTGCATTTGCAAAAGATCAAATTGGCCAAAAGTCTGTCAGTCATTTGTGCACGATGGGGACGCAGAATGATGCCACCATGGCTGAAAACTCGCTCCACTGGAGCACTAGAAGCAGGCACTGCCAAGACTCGGATGGCTACTTGAAAGAGTGAAGGAAGAGTCTTACTGTTCAGTGCCCAGAACAAAAGGGCATTCTGTCCTTCTGCCATGTCAATGTAGTGACTTAGCTGTACTGCTGGTGGGGTCCCAACATCCCTTTTCTGCCTCTTATGGTATGCAGCAAACAGCCCTTCTCCTTCCATGTCCTCTAGTTCTTCTTCAGCAGGCACCGGCACAGGCTGCTCTGTCTCTGCAGCATCTTGCAGGATCAATTCTAAAAATAAAAATAAAAACGTGTCACAACAGCAGAAACAAAAGAGCCCTTATTTCTGATGTTGATGATACTGTTCAAGACTGAAATGTTTTATTATTGTTAAAGTCAGATTAATATCACATTAGATCCTATATCAGATTAAGATCAAATTATTGTACGTTGCATTTAAGTTGCATTGCAAGTCAATAATATTTACCTTTAACTCGTTGTGCCACCTCTGCCTTGATGTCACGGTTGACCAGCACATGGGGCTCAATCCACAGCAGACAAAAGGCTGGATCCAAGGCAGCTGCTTTCAGGTAGACTGTGTCTGAAAAGGGGGCAGTGATCCCTTCTTGAGACTGGGCCATTTTTACATTAATGAAGATCCCAAGAAATCTTTTTTTCAGGGATGCCTGCAGACCTCTGACCAGGCCACTCAGGAAACGAACTTGAGGCTTCAGCTTCTCAAGATGGTGATTGAGGGACAAGATGGATGGAACAACTGCACTGATTGTAATGACTTTCTCCCCCTGTGTCAAATCAGTTGCTTCTCCGAACGGTTTTAAGATGTCCACCAACTCCTTCAGCAGATTCCACTCTCGTGGTGTGAATGACAGTTCTTTATGCCCGGCCTTCTCAAGAACTGCGCAGAGCTTTTGCTGATCACAATGAAGGACTGCTTTTACCTGCCGCAGTGTGGAATTCCACCTCGTGCTCACTGCAGCAGGGATGCCTCTGTGCTCCCCAAATTCACCATCGAAGATGTCTTTAAACGTTGTGCTTGTGTGGAGCAGGGAGCTAAGTTTTGATAACTTGGAGAGAGAAGGACATGCCGCTTTTGTTTCTTTCAAACCGTCTCCCACAACCAGCTGCAATGTGTGTGCAAAACACTGCAGGCGCTGTTTCTTTGCCATAGCAGCATCGACGGTTTGCTGGTCTTCTTGGGTTAAGTCATGCCATAGCTCAGGATCATCAAGATTATCTCCAGCATCTTCATCTTCCTCCTGTTCGCTGGGGAAGCAGACTGTAAATGCCTTGCGCATGTTAGCAGCATTGTCACTAATTATATAGTCCAATTTAGCTTTGATGTTGTATTCATCACATATTGCCTCAAATTGGTCACAGATTCGCTCTGCTGTGTGAGAGCCTTTGAAGCGGTTGCAGGCCAAGAGATTAGTCTTTAGCTGTACCCTCTCTGCATCTCGCTCCATCCAGTGCACAGTGACACCAAGGAATCCCCTCATCTTTCGATCAGACCAAATGTCCACAGTGACTGAAACATGGTCAGTGTTGCTCAATTGAGTTTTTAACTTTGACCGTCTCTCCTCAGCAAGGCTCTCTGTTTTTGTGGTCAGCGTTCGGCGACATACTGGGGTATACTTGCTCTCCAGCACAGCCAGAAAGTGACGAAAGCTCTTATTTTCCACAATAGACAGAGGGAAATTGCAATCAATAATCAAGTCAGACAGTATCGCATTGGAGATGGCCTTCTGCTGTGGGTGGGTCAGGCTGTAACGCCCTACACGAGTGTCAAGGAATTGTGAGATTGAAGGCTGTTGTGGTTCATCTACGATGATTTTGTTCATCTGGTATTCTTCATACCTGTAACAGAGAAGAATATGAAACAGATGTCAGAAAATCCTTTACAGCCACACATGTTGTATTTGAAACTACTCTTTACTCATATCAATGTTGTTGTGTTAATATTCATTGCCTATTGTACACTACGGTTTACGATAATACATTTCAGTGTCAGTGTATGCAATATTAAGAATATTTTCACTGCTTCAAAATTCATAAGAAAGCCCTTTCCCTCAAGAAACTGAAGTCATATGCTTTATAGCAGTGGTTTTCAAAGTGGGGACGGGGACCCTTGGGTGCCGCGAGGGGGTTCTAGGGGGGCCATGGCAAGTTGGCATGAAAAGTATAGAAAAACAAAATAATTGAATAAATTAAATAACTAAAGTAAACCAAATTAAACCAAAAATAAGCTAAACAATATTCCCATTTGTTAAGAACTGCACTATAATAATCTATTGCATCTCTGAACATTACTACTATAATCGTTATTATTTTATTATATACTGTATATATCCCAGTGGTGCGCTGCCTCACAGACCTACTGTAGACTACGGTAGCACTCTGTCCATGCGCTGTCTGCTGTTTGGGCATGATATGAAAAGGGAAGGCTAATGGTGGATCTACTGTGACTGTGTTATCATTTTCCTCTTTACAATGTATACGTCTTACTATGTTTCCTGTTGTACTTGGATGGGTTTAGGGATGCACCAACTACATCCGA